GAGCAGAGCAGAGAGGACTGGGAAGGGTGAAAGGGGTAAAGGGGCACATATGTATAGTGATGGATAAAAACTGGACTATTGGTGGTGAACACAATGCAGTCTATACAGAAACTGATATATAATAATGTACACCTGAAATGACAAAATGTTATAAACCAATATGACCTCAAAATAATTTAAAAAATAAAATGCAGTAAAGAATGTAAGAAACAAATGAAAAACCCCATTTGGCATGCAAGGTGATGGTCTTTCAAATTTTGCACGTAAATGGTATTTCTTATCCTAATAATATATATTCCTCATACCAATATCAAAGGGCATGTGTCGTATGTATATAGGAGGCCTTACAGAGTGGATGGTCAATAATGGGTAGCTATTTATATAGCGGAATGTTAGTAGTCACAGTGAAAACATGAGTTATTAAATAATCTCGTCAATGAAGTTTTGCCCTACATAAAAAGTTTCGTACTATAAATCCTAACTTTTGTATATAATATATATATTAGATATTTTTAAACTTTTCTGTAAAATACGCATAACCAAACTTTCCACACTGACCATTGTTAAGCGTGTGACTCAGTGGCATTAAGTACATTCACAGCGTCATACAGCTGTCGTCCCTGTCCATTTTCAGAACCTTCTAAACAGAAACTCTGTATATATTTTATTTTAAATTTTAAATTTTTATCCACTTTTAAAGAATTAGACAACAAAAATATATTTAACAGATCAAGAGTCAACTTTTATGTTCTCCTTTTTTATTCCAAAGACATTTCACTCTCTTATGAGTCACATTTACTATAAGGAATTAACAAATAAAAGTTAACATTATAAAAATCTTGACTTTTTTCTTCCCCAGATTCCGAGAACCCGTCTCCTACCCTTTGTTCCCTCTTATCCATTCCCACGTACATATACCCCAACCCATAATCACTTGAAATCAAAAACTTTAGCTGAGAAAACTGTGCACCTGAAATTGGCTTTCTCACATCCAAATGAACATATTCTCAAGCCAGGTTTCTTTTGAGGAATAAATATCAGGAAAAACAGTTTATATTAGTCCCATTTTATCCACATTGCACCAGATTTTGACTGATTTTTTTTATCCATGAGTTTGAATCATCTATGACTATTTCCCCTGTCCTTGGTCCACTCTTGGTGCTCACTTCCCACCGCCATTACCTTGGTTAATCAGAAGTTGACAGCCCTTGAAGTTCCCCTGTCTCTGCTTCTTGCGTGTATTGCTTATTCTACCTTAAGTGTCTCTCCCTGACTTGGACTCCCACTTCTTTGAAGCCAGGCTGGTTCTTAATATTGCTCGTGTTCGGCTCAGACTTCACTTTGAGACATTCCTTGTGTTCAAGGAAACCTCTGGCACCCAGCCTACCGGCCTGTACTCTGTACTCACATAACTCTCTGTGCATAGCCTTTGGTAACCTACACACACTATACTGAGAATAAATACTTTACGTCCTTCTTTCCTCAGACTGGGAACTCCCTAAGGTTTGGCATTGTGACTTATAAATATTTGTATCCCTATTTCCTAGGATGGTACCTGGCACAGAGGAGGAAAGTACAATAGATTACTATATTTATATTTTTCGTCTATCAGAAACCTTTGCGTGTTACTCTTAAGAAGAGACTAGATGAACGAGCAACTGTGCATATCGGAAGACTTAGTGAAGGAGAAGCTGAGTCCCAGAACCATAGATAAATGAGTGAGCGCTGGCCCACAGGAAAAGCAAGGTAGCCAGAGGAGCAAAAATAAAAAAGAATTGAGAGCCAGCAGGAACCACAAAGTTCTCCAAATTTGCCTTCTGCCCATATCATTCCTGGTCTTGATTAATCTGAATATCAGTTTCCACAACAGAATAAGGCCCTGGGACTTGTGTGTCACGTGAGAAGGAAGGCATACAGATTAATTTTAATCATTGAGAACAGATCTACTGAAACATTCCCTGCAGTAAGTATGGATTTTATTACAAAGTGCTGAATAAACCTCCCAGAGCTTTTCTTGTCTTTGTGAGACCATGTTAGTTCCAAAGAAAAAAAAATAAGTATAAAAGAAACAGGGAACTCAGAGAGTATTTCTAGCCACAACTTTAGCAAACCACTCTAAACTCTATTCTGTCAATCAAGACCACGTTGGAAAGGACCTGAGACTGATTTTCATAGTAACAAACAGCACACATAGTCCCTATGTTATAAGAACCATTATAACAAAACTTTGTACATTGAGGATGTGAATTTTTTTGCATAATAAAAGCTACTCCTATGAAAATATAAGATGGAGTGATTAACATGCTTTTCTCAATGTGACCATTGAAATGTACCAAGCAAATAAACTACTGAACTTGATGAGTGAATGTAAGGGCGTATAACGTTGGTTAGAACCAGGTGAAATGCAGGTGAGGCACATCACAAAATTTAGACATAAGTAAAATCCACCTGGGTAATAAACAGTTGCCTATGTGCATGCGAGAGTGTGTATGTGTGAGATTATACAGCAGCCATGTATATTAAGTAATGATCATGACTCAAAACACTTTCATTTTCTGTGTTACTGAATAAAAGTAAGTTGAAAATACATGAAGTTCTTCTAAATGATTCCCAAACACTCCTCTTTATCCAAACTGGTTTGTACTCTCTGATAGATCTGGGGTTCTGCAATTGATAATTTCACCCGTCAGCATCCCTAAACTAAGGTTAGTGACCAGCCCTAAATGCAGAGGGTCCCCAACCTAGGAGGAGGCCCAAGCACTCATCAGAAATATCACGCGGTATTGTGCATGTAAGAGAAGGCCCTTTGATGTAAGCACCAAGGCTGTTACCATGGAGACCACATGATTCAAGTCACTTCCTGATGCTAAAGCACCTGGTCTTCATGTTTCCGCTAATTTCCACAGAACCTTGACCATGCTTGCCATTTTAAACTCTAGTATGACAGAATTTGTTTTAAGAAAATGTCTGATGTCCCCATCATTCATAAAACTGAAGATGCAAAATTTTGAAAGATGTGCAATAATCCTTATAAAATTTGGAACTTCAGGCAATTTTTCCTTCCTTTTCTTATTTCTTAGCATGATGACAGATATATTTCTCATGTAATTTTGAATGTTAATCTTTTAATTTAGATACTGGAAAGCATAGGCCTGTCTAATGTAAGGAAAATGGGCCACAGGGTGTTACCTGGCCACCACATTATCTGAAAGAGACAAAGACTAAAAGAGGAGACTGTTGTTTAGGTGCATTCTAGGAGCACCCATAGGAGTGTTGATTTTAGAGCCCTTGCACCATTCCTCTAAGAATTGGGGCCAGAGCTTCCATTAGATTTGTGTTTTACACAGGCTACTGATGAACGAGTCATGGCTTGGGCGTGAGCAGCTGTTAAGCGGGATGTGCAGAGGGTGGGGCAGGGATGCTGATAACTTCATTTGGGGATAAGAAAGGAGCTTTAATGATAAATTTTTCGAGGTGTACAAAATACAAACATCATATTTTTAGATAAAATAAAGAACATGTGGTTTCTTGTAAATTTTCTTTCTGATCTGTCAAGTTGTTTTTATTGAACTCTAGTTGTGTAAAATTGATTTGAAATAAAGTTAAAGAGGAAATGGATGATTTATAAAAAAAAAAGCAAGGCCATAGGGACAGAGGAGCACATAATAAGTATCTCTGTATTAGACAGCTAAGTCATTTGTGTTTTGGTGCTTTTTAAGGACAAGTTAACTTGTGGCTGGCATAACTATAGAGGAATAAATAATTCAGGCTTTTCTTCCTTGAAAAAAGGAAATAGGAAAAGGATATGAGATGTTGATTCTCAAATTTTGAGCTGGCTGAAGTGCAGATCACTCTGAGGTCCATACAGTATATCTTTAGTTCTGAGAGTAAATCTTTTGAATTAGCCAATAGGAGTCTTAAAGCTAAATAAGAGGAAACATTGATGGCCGATAAAGGGAAAGGAGATGTTTAAACTTATGAAAAAATAAAGGAACAGTTCTCTATCTATATGCTGAGAGCAACTAACAGAAAACAGAATCTGGGCTGTCTTTTCTCCTTCTATTTTTATTCATGATTCACATTTTTTCAACCACTCCATTTCTGCATACCATAGTTGACTCATAATCATGAGGGAGATGATTATGCTCTCCACCTGAATTACACAGCCTTTGTACTATTTCAGCCTGGATCTTTTCTCTACCACGTCAGCAGTTAAGAATTTATCATGTGGATACGGGGCCTCATGCCCTGCACAGGATGCCTAGGTCACAAACTGCTGTTTGAGGATACAGTCCATATGTTAATATCCATCACCCCATAGAATCGAGTAGGTCATCTTAAAACTACTCAGTGAAAATGAGAAATGGGTGTTCATTTTTTAACATTTTTGTTTTTTTCCTCAATCCAGCTGAGTCACCAGGAAGTTTCTACCACAATTATATTTTAAATATTTGCAAACTATGTGCTCTGTAGTCAAAATACAATCAAAAGTGCTTACTTTTGTTATATGTGTATAGAAGTGTGTGCTTATGCTGTGTTTGGGCATCCAAAGCAGCTTAATTTGTACCTGAGTTGATGTGGGCAGAGAGCTTATACAGTTATGTTAGATGGAGAAAGGGAATGTGCCCTAATTTGGGGAATCAGATATCATCAATGAAGTAAAATCTGTAGGAAGCTCTGAAAGATGACATGTAACTTTTTCTTCACTATTATCAGTTTTAAGTATAGTACTTTTTAAGTAATGTATTTCTAAATGAATATTCTAAATAGAAATGAAAGATTCTCTTTCTCCTGAGTGGTTTTTTTGTAGTTTGGCCCGAAACCATTTTTTCTAACCAATGAAAAAATCTTGTTTCCTTTCTCTCTTTTCCAGTGTTAGAACTGTTTGTTAGCGTGTTACTTCCTGATCACACTAATTGGCTGAGGGTAGTGGAACAGTCGGTGGAACCAGATGTTGTTTACGCCCGCTCTTCCTGGGTCTCTGTCGCCATTATCCTCACCTGGTTGCTTATGAAGCCAATGCCCTTTGTCCTCCTAGCTGTATACTTCTGGTATAAGAATTCTTAATCAGTGACACTAGAAGGTTGAGAAAGCACAAAGGAAATAAAAGAATAATCAAGAACTGACTATATTAAGCAAAGCAGTGAAACCATGTAAATTTAAAATTAAAGGAATCACCCTCACAGTTCTGAAGGTGTCAAATTATGTCCTAATTTTAAATGTGAGATCTATGCAAATTAACTTGCTATCTTCCCAACACCGTTGGTGCCTGGATTTGAGCACAGTGGAAATTCAAAAATTTACCTTTGTTTTGGAACCATTTCTTTTCAGTGCTTTTCTTAACTTTTCCCTAAACTACCCAATGAGCAATCTCTCCTCTGCCCACACCCCCAAAATTAATTTTGTGAAGTATTAGTAAAACTTCTCATGGTTTCATCAGATCGCCTTGTCTTGGGGAGTTAGGAGCACACCACCCCAGAAGTTTCCTTTATTGGCTGCTGTTTTGAGGTACATTCTGTGTACCAGCTGCAGAACAAGTTAATTGTCACTATGGGGATTGAACTAATAATGCTATCTTTGAGAGCCTCCTGTGTGCCAGACTCTTAACATAAATTTTCTTTAACCCCAAAAGCATCTCTATGAGGTATTAAAATCCTTATTTTCACAATGAGGAACCCATATTTCAGAGAGTTGAAATAATTTGCCCAAAGCTAGATTGTAAAGGGAAGAAAAAGAGTTGGAGCTGGTCTATGTGACCTCTGACCACCACCACTTATGCCTTTGGAAGGAAAGCTGGAGATTACCAGCACCGTGCTGTACACAAGTGAAGTGGCTGACCAAGTCCTTCTCCAGCAGTGGTTCTGAAACCTTATTGTGCAAAATAATCACATGGGGAGCAGAGTTAAATTGCAGATTCTTTGCCATACCTGCAGAGATTCCAGGAATCTGAATTTTTTACAAATACCCCAGGTAATTCTGAAGCAGATTTCTACTTTGAGAATCACTTTTCTAAAGGTAGTGTTAATAAAATTCTCTCTCTCTCAATCCATTCATCCATCCATCGTGCGTGTGTGTGTGTGTGTATTGGAAGAGTTTCCATAATAATTTTTACTTGAGGGAAAAAGAAATTAACTTCTCTTGCCATATGATAGTTAAGTTTTTGATAGTTTTAATGTCAACCCCTTTACAATCTAAACATTCCTTCTCTGTCCTCTTTCTTCCTCCCAAGCAAGCTGAAGGGTTGGTTTTGCTTTCTTCAGGTTAATTCAAGAGGTCATTGATTTTTGAGATAAGTCATTTCAAGTATTGCTAAAGATCTTTTCATTTTGATAGTATCAGAATTTTATTTAAGATTGATATCTATCAGTGTTTTGAGGAACTTTTTTTTGACACTGTTAGCCATAGACATTGATTTTAATTAGTGGACACAACTTATTTTAAAAGATCTTTGGGAGGTGGGCTATTCGGAAACCAGATATGAGAGTAGGCTACCTTGAGAATCTTATGTATCTGAAATAATAATGAATTGGGGAAAAATAGGTGTAGCAACAGTTTTTTAGTTAGAAGACAAATTTTTAATTTAAAAAATTAGTTTTCCATAAGCCAGTGCGTTTTTCATGGAGAAAGACTGTTGGTGACACTTACTAAAGTGCTGCAACATTTTGCTAATTTAAAAAAGGTCTGCCTCAGATCGATTGTGACCTTATCAATAGGATGGTCTCATTCATCTCCTTGGGAGACTCTTGTCACACGGAGCTGCAATAGCTGTGAGCTGCGGCTACTCTGATTGCAAAATCAACATTAAAGAGGGTTTCAGAATCAGTTTGTGGTAAAGTGAAGCATCTCTGTGATCCTCTTAGTTATTAGTTTTTAAAAAGTGAAACATCTTTGTAATCTTTCTTAATTATTTGTTTCAAAAAAATCATAAACTCATGTTCCTGATATTATTTACTCTCATATTTTATTCTTAAGACTAAGAGCTGTTTAGGTGAGAGAGAGAATGATTTTGTATGTGTACCGAATTTGTGGTTCTTTTGGACCAGAACTTCCTCCTCCTTAATGCATTAATTTTGTTCATGTAAATTATTATATTATTTGTTGGAAACAATTTTTGAATGTCAACAAATATAATACAAATGAAATTCCTTATAGTTTACTAGTTTTCAGTATTTGCTTCTAAGAAATTGTTTTATAATTTAAAAAAATAATTTTATTTCATTGATGTTGGGTAAAATTTAGAGATACAATTTTCAAAATGCATTACATGTTCCATACTTAATGTATGTAAGGTATGTGAGTATATTATTGGGATTTAATTTCTGTGTGGCTTTTGGAGTAATTCTCTGGGTCTAAAGTAGCATTTTGTTTCATATTAGTAATTGTGCAATCTATAGTTCCTTGGGCCTAATTTTATAGGTAATAAAACTGAGAAAGTCAGTTTTCTTATAATTAACTTTCTTCTATTTCTTTTTTGCTTTTCACATTTATTAATTTTGTCCTAACCATTTCAGCTTTCTAATATTAGTTTATCTCAATTTTCTTTCACTTCTAGTCATCTGTAATCAAAACCATTTTCTCTCCATCTGCTATCTTTTCATTCATCTCTCCTTTTAAAATCTGTTTCCTCTCCTGTAGACTCATGAATATGCCATGGTATGTCAACTTTCTTTGACTAATTAGGAAGGAGAAAAGAATTCTTTACTTTTGAGATTGTCATTCTCCCTGTGTACCAGTCTGAACAATTAAAATCAGTTGTCTTTGCCTACTAATGATTCCCCAAGTTAGATGTGGGAAACTGAAATAGGATGTTTTCCTTCTGAGGACCCCTGCACTCTGAAACAGTGCACCCCCCATCACCCTACAGGCCCATTGACTGCTGTTCAGTGCATAGTTTAGCCTACTTTTGGAACTGATCTTTGCTAATGAGATAGCACTGACCTCTTAAAGATGTTGCTATTTCATAGACTTATTTTTGTGTATTTCAAATATGTGTCAGGAAAAATATTTATTTAAATGGCCCCATTTTAGTAATATCCATAATACTTGATAGAGTTATTTTATATCCATTTTATTTTGTGCATAACTATTATTTACCATTCTTCTCACTTGGAAATATTGTATTAAATAAGATGCTCTTCTAAGAGGAATATTTATTCAGAACTCAATTTTCTTGTTTTAATATTGAAAACTATCAAAATATTTATAAGCATCTTATTCATGTTTTATACATACGTCAGCCAATAACAAGTTACAAAGAAATATGATTCAAAACAATGAGAATTTATTGAGTACCTACTATATGCATAAACTTTTCAACGTCTTATGAGAAATACAAAAAATTTAAAGTTTGGTAATTAGTGACACAGTAAGTTATATGATTAAGTATCAGAATAATTGTTGGACGCAATCAATACTCTGTGATTTAAGAGGAAGGAGAAATCAATATGAATTGATGATCTTGGGAAGCTTTATTGAAGAGCTGGTATTTGCCCTTGTCCTTGAAGGATGAGTATATTTCTATGTACTTTCCATACCAAAGACCTCCTATTGAATATATTTAGAAGATAAAAGAAAGGAGTCAAAGATAATGTTAAGATTTAATGCTAGGGTAAGCTGAGAATGAGATGTCATTAGTGAAAAAAGATGTCATAGAAGCTGGCTTGAGAGAGAAGATGAAGAATCTGGTTTTGAACATTTGAGGTGTGATGTCTAGTAAGAAGATAGAGATACAAGAGACCAAATGAGACACGAGGGCTAGAAATGGAAGCAGTATTGCACACTAGAGAGCAGACAACTAGAACTGCAGAGACCCATGTTTTGGTGCCCTCCCTGACACCAAGTAGGTCGGTGAATTTAGTCAAGTGACTTCGCGGCTTCCAGCTTCCATTTCCATATATTTATAATGAGAGTCCTGAGATTCCTTGCATTTTAACACCCTATAAAGGAACATTGTAGAGTTCTCCATGCATAAGTAATAGTTAAATCCATGAAAGTACATCTGACCTCTGAAAAAGAATAATGTTAAAGGAGCAGGGCTGAGCCTGGAGGAACGGTGCAGTTTCGATTTGGAAGAAGACAAAGTAGAAGGGAACGTGTTGTCATGGGGCAAATGTTAGTGTTAAGGAGAAGAGACAACCAGCATGTGAGACAACAGAGGGCATAATCGCAGTAAGCAAGAGGAAAAAGTGAAAGAGTGATAGTTCAATCTCCTGACTTTCCATCCAGCTTTTGTGTCTGACAAGATGGGTGTTGTGCTGTGGCACTGGAGTGGTGTTTCTCAGAAGATTGTAATCACAAATCACAAGTTACACATACGGATTTCACCTTGTTGTATGCATTGAATATTCATATATGATGCCTCAGGAAAGTCAAATTAACTCACTGCCTGTTCTATGCTGGACTTCTTTAGGCTGAATCACAGTCACATACGCAATGTAGTTTAGTCAGAATATGTGAATGTTTTAACATACTATTTATTCCATTTAAGTGATTCAAATAACCTTGCTTTAATCTCTGATTACTTATTCCAGGTCTGTATTTTGGAAATGCATCAATATTTGAGACAGAATCACTGAAAACATCATTTGATTATCTAGGCTATTTGATGATATATTAAAATAACACAAATATATTTGTGAGCCCAAAGTTTGACACATATCAGAAAACCGTAATATGAAGAGGTTCTCATAGGCCTAACAGTACTTTCTGTCTAATTTAACCCTTCAGTAAGAAACAATTATATTTAAATACTCATCATTTCTGACCAACTCTGTGACTGGATTCTACAAATAAATAATAAGGTTTATCCCCAGAGATAATACTAAGATAGTTTCAATAATGCTAGAGGCAGATGTGGAAAATTGCCAACACCTAAAATATCTACTTTAATTTCAAGACTATTAGTAATGCAAAATATCTCATTTTTATCCTATTAAAAGAGATAAAACCTTAGAAAGGTCATTATAGAAGAATGCAAAGAGTAAATGTAGAAATGTTTGAAAGAGGAGCCATAAATGTTTTATGTAAATTGGCAGATATGTTCATTCTTAAACCAATGACTAAAAGTAAAAAAGGAGTTGTTTTTTTAAATGTGTGTGTATTTCTATCCTTGAGGTTCTACAAGTGTTAAAATAGTCAAGATTTTAAGAAACTTGTTGAGCTAAAATGAGGCAAGAAATACTAATTCTAATTAGTATTTACTCTCGTGAGAATTTACTGTTTTGGGACAGATTTGTTTTTGAACCACTGTAAGAAAAATGCTAAAAAGCCAATTAATTTTTTTTAACTACTTCGAACAAATAAAGGTTATTTTTATTCACCTCATACAGTGCTATGCAGACAACTTTTGTTGTCCCCTTTGATCTATGAAAAATAACTGTCTTGGACTTTTCCTCTATCTTCACTTACCTCGTACTTCCTAGGCAGCGTCCATCATTCAGTCAGTCAAGCAGGTAGGGTCATTGCCTTTCACTGTACTGTTCACCAGGCAGTACCAGGCTGCCAGTGCCCGCCAGAGTGGGTGTTCCCCCCAAGCATCAGCTGAAGGCCCTGTTCTCACAGAATCTGCAGGTAGTTTTCTCTCTTAACTCCAAGGTGACTGTTGCCAAAGCAAGGTCTCACTCTGACACTACCAAGTATTTTCCAAGTCATCTAGAATTCTCTCAGCGGGAAAATAGGGAAGAAATGCTACACAGGAATAAAGCAGGAATCTTACTTATATGCACTGACAATGTGTTTGTGCAGTGTGAGTCAGAACTCTCAGGCCCATCCAGCCCCTGTGACCCGCTGCCTGGTCAGTCCATTATGACAACGGCATCAGCAACTCTGCTCAGTTCACCACATGATGACTGTCTTTCCAGTGTGTGCCTGCCATTTATTAGGACATTAGTGGCCGGCCATCCTCCAGATGCCCAGCCGTGACTATCACACAAAGAAAACATTAGCTTTCTTGGATGTTGCTATTATAATTCGAAAATTAGTTTTGCCTTCATGGCTGCATCACATTTGGAATCTCTCTTTGATGTTGTTATTAGTTTGGGCTCATGGTGCTCATAACTGTCACACATTAATCACGTCCATCATGTGATTCTTAATTTGCTCTATTATGACAAATGGATTTAGACACAAACTTGCAATTACCTATTTTGAGGTTAATAGCAGATTTGCAGTTGTAATTGGTTCCCAAATATTCAATTTAGGGAAATTATTTCTCACCCAGCTCTAAAACATGTTCTAAATGAGCAAATTGTATTTTTTACTGTCACTGCAAAATTGTGCCTGATGAGACCATATGAGACATCTGAGCATAGTAATAGACCCGAAAGTTCTTACCAGAACAGAATATCTGTGCATTCTGTGGGGTGTTCTGCTCTCTGCCATTATCTCATTTATCCACTCCATTTTTATCTGAATCTCAAATTACTCCAGAACATTTTACTTTGTAAACTCTCTCCTTCTGGGGAACATTGTATAGTGATTATTCTATTTGCAGAATGTTAGCAGTCTTAATAACTTCCTGCCGTTATCCTTCTGTAATCTAATGGCAAGAAGAAGATACTTGTAAAGGTTGCTATACCTTTTGATTTTTCTCTCTTATATCTCTTTGTTAAGTATTGCATATTTAAAATGATTGTATATCTAAAATTGTCTCAGAAATTCTCTTTCTGAATGAGCAGAGGAATTTCTTGTAGGGTCCTTTTTGGTTACAGAGACTTCTTTTTCTTGGAAGGTTTGCATAGACTAATGTTCCTCTTCTGCTACAACTCTCTCATTACATACGAATTCTGGTACATCTCCGGGAAATGGTATGCATTCATCTATTCCAGAAAAACTTTCTTTTCTAACAAATCTTATTAACACAAATTTACAGGCATATGGGATGCCAATTAACAAGTAACTGCAGAAAGTTGTGAAAAATAGAAACATGGAAATTAGAGGTGGGAAACATTCTGAAATCGCTGGTTTAGAAGTTGTGTATCATGGAGACTGAGAGTCCAAATTCTGGAGTCAAGCAGCCTTGATTTGACTCCTGTTTCAGCTATTTCTTGTTGGACTGTAGACAAGTCACAACCTATGTCAATTTCCTCATCAGCAAAATGGTAGCACCTATCTCTAAGAGTTTTTGTAAAACTCTTAGCACATTATTAAGTGCTTAGTAAATGTTAGCTGTTATTATCTAGTCCCTCGCTCTTATCCAAAAAGGAAATTCCTTCCACATGGTTCTTAGAAGATGATCATTCAGCCTGTACTTAAAACTTTTCCTATGAAGAGCCATTTGCTACTCTCCTAAGTGTTTTTCCTCCCATTTTTGCATATTTCTAATAATGAGAATTGGAGTCTTCTTCCTTGTAACTTCCATACTTTGGGTCCAGCTCTGGTCATTAGGACATATATAATGTGTTTTCTATAAAAAGATTTTTCAACTATTTGAAATATCTTGTCCATCGCGTCTTCCAGGTCTTTTCTTCCCAAGGCTAATTACCCCAATTCCCTTAACTATGTCGTATGTAACATTCTTCACAGGCCCCTTACCTTCCTACTTGTCCTAAATTTGTCCCTTAATTGACATGTTAATGTTGCTGTTAGAATACGCTGACTTGAATAAAACCAAATACTATCTGACCAGTGCAACATGTGACTTCTCTTATTTTAGGTAAAAATAGTATCATGATCTAAGATTTCTTTAGTTTTTTCTGTGTGTGCATTGGGGTAGGGAGGTGATATGGAAACCACTGTGCTCTTTTCTCTTAGTTGCTTGCTTGCATTCGCCCAAAGTCCTTAAGGTCTTTTCACATGAAATGCCCTAAGCCATTTTTTGTGTAACCCGAGTGTAAGACTTTATGTAGTTCAGTTAAATGTAGTAATCCCCTTGTTGACATAGCAATCAGAAAAGGGTGTATGTTGGGAGAAGTATTAGAAAGGGTTCACTAGTGTTTAGAAGTACCTAGCTTAGAGTTATACACAGAGTGGACATTCTCTGAGTCTTTGTCTGCTATAAAATATTCACATAGTTAACACTCACTGAGTACTTGCTATGTACCAAGAACTGTCACAAGCACTTTACAGGCAGGTTCTTCTTAGCTGCATTTTATAGCATAAAATTTATAATGTGAAGAGAGATCCTATAACTTGCTCAAGCTCACATGGCTAGTTAATGATGGAAAGGTAGACAGGAACCAAATGCTATATGCCTTGAAGGCTAGGGAAAGAGTGTAGATTTGATGCAAAAGCCATTGATATGACACTGAAGAGTGTTCCTTGGGGAGTGGCACAGCCAAGTTTGTGGGTTTAAAAGGAGTGCTAGGGCTGCTCTGTGGAGAGGAGGTTGGAGGATGGCCAGAGTACAAAGAGGCCACCACGAGGCTCTTAAAGAGTTTAGGTAAGACAATGACTGGGCTGGCAGAAGAGCAGCAGAGAAATGGATGGTTCAAGGTCTGTTCTGAAGTCGGGTCGTCAGGATTTGGTAGTTGGTTGGATCTGTGGTCAAAGAAAAGGAGGACTCCGGGTGACTCCCGTGTTTCTGGTTTCAGCCACAAGATGAGTGATAATTACAAATACAAATGAGTTAAAGAGAACTAATGACTTACATGGTTATGTGATCAGAAAATATCTTAGTGGATGACTAAATGAATGGATGATGTATATTAAAGTTAAAATAAGAGACTACTTTCAAAGGGTTTACTTCTCTATTACCTCATATTCTTCTTAAGGGCAATTATATAAAAATTATATAAAACAATGTCCTTATGAGAAAATGGAGCCATTTTTTTTAAAACCGTAGTACCTCAACAGATTTTTTTCTCTAGAAGAAAATGCCTTTTTCCCATGAAGAAAGTTGGCAGGGAATAATTTCCGTTTGTTCCTTTCTGTTTCCAAGCTTTTTAGTCTTCTCTGATATATTTCTATAAGATTAAATCATGGGTACTGTGTCTAAACACTTCTGTTCAGAGTGTGTTTGAAATGAAATAGGTGGAAGAAGGAATAGAGGTGGAAGGAGGTAGAAGATAATTTTTTTAAAAAGGAGAGCCGTGGAATTTTAGCTCTGTTAGGAACCTTGCAGATAATGTCTTCTAAACCACTCATTTTAGAGTTGAGGAAATTAAGGATCAGAGAAGTTGTTCTTTATCCAACCTTAAATTCTTAAATTCTCAGTCTAGGGTTCTGTCGACTGCCTTCATTTTTCTTGAAGCTATCTTCTAGAACCCTTCTCTTTAGAAAGGAATCTTAAGAGAAGAATCCAAATTCTAAGTTAGGGAATAAGTAGCTTCTACTTGATTTATGAAAAGGATCATAACAGAAAAATATATCAGTGAAAGAGGGGAAACGAGCTTAGAGTTGATACCCTAGTGATAATCAGCAGCACAGGGTCAAGGTTAGCCAAATCTAAGTCAGGATAATGATAGCTAGTAAGCACCCAGGAGCTAGGGGTCAAGGTGTGAGAAGGTTGCCAAGTGGACTGGCAAGCGTATTCCAGACACCAAAAGAAACCTGAGAACCTCATGGCCCAGGCAAGTGCTGCGTCACGTTACGTGCCAGAGCTTAAGGCCTACAGGTAGAACGCAATAGGCATGAGGCATGTCAACTCGGGAGCTAAAACTAAAGTCTTCATACAAAAGAAGCTGAGCCCTTGAAATTGGGGCCCATAGCAATGCCAAGGTAATGGTCATTGTACTCCACCTGTCAGGCCCTGACCGTCAGCCATCATTTTGTATCAGTCCATGACAAAGGTCACATAGACTTGATAAGAAGCTGGAATGGGAGTTCATTGAGAGAAGTGAGAAAAATAATGTATCTTTCATAGTAGAGGAGCTATAAGAAGGTATATAGTGAAAAGTCACCTTTCCAATTCTGTCACCTGCTCTGCCCAGTACCCATTCCTGCCAACAGCTAACCAGTGTTCTAATTTACCCTTTATGGGCATTTTTCTGCATATGCAAATCAGACAAATACAACATTCTTGTTTCCTTTCATTTTTTACAAAGTGATGCTGTATTTTACACACTGTTCTGCACCTTACTATTTTCATTTGATAAATAATTATAAGGACTGTCATAATACAGAGCTATCTCAAATAGCTCCAAATAGCCCCAAAATGTTTCCAGGGTCTTCTGTCCCTTACCAAAATTTCAAGATAGAGTCGTGTGTTACTCAGTGACAGGGATATGCTCTGGGAAGTGTGTCATTAGGCGATTTTGTTGCTGTCTGAACATCGTAAGTGTACTTACACAAACCTAGATGGAACAGCCTATTACACACTTAAGCTGTAAGGTACTAATCTTATGGGACCACCATCATATATGTGATCTGCCAGTGACTGAAATGTTGTTGTGTGGTGCATGACTGTGTATATTTATGATTTAAGATTAAGATTGGTAAAGTAACAATGCTAGAATGTTGGACATTGTGCTTGAGAATACCCCTATTTAATGACAGTGTGTCTGGGGTTGCAGCAGCTAGGGTATCGACTCAGCTGTCCTAACCCCATCACTGGCCAATCTGACAGTACTGAGTGATTGAGTTATGCCTATCAGTTCCTTACTTGTAAACAGGAGAAGGTTAGACTGGCCAAACTTTGAGGTAAATTTCTAATTCTAGAACTGGTAACACTATCTGAATAGTTTAAAATCTTACCAGTTTGTTGCCAGGGACTGGAATATATCTGGATGTTAGATTTATCATTTTGGAGGTACATGTTATGGCAACTTCCATCAAAAAGAATTATCTTCTAAGTGATTGACTTTTTAAATTGTGAAAATTCCAGATATTTAGAAAAGCATAGATAATAGTATACAAACATTAGTATACCTTTGCTTAAAAAACAAATGATTACAGATACAGTTAAAGTTCCTAATTGCATTCCTGTCTTTCCCCTGCAAAAGTAACCACTCTCCTGATTTTGGTATTTATTGTTCCCACACACACCTGTATACTTTTGCTTTGTTTATATATAATCTCTGAACAATATAGATCATTCCTTTGCAGGTTTTAAAATTTTGTATAAATGGTATCTTACTATACACATTTTCTGCTTCTTGCTTTTTTTGTTGTTGTTTACCATTATGCTTTTGAGACTTATCCATGTTGGTGTATGTGTCCTAATTCATTCATTTTTAGCATTCTATCAATAATCCCTACTTAAGTTTCCATTCTCCGATTGAAGAACATTTAGGTGGTTTTTCTCTTTTCTGTTACAAACTGTGCTTGAATGATATATATCTCTTCAAATCTAAGAATAAATGTAGGAGTGCATCTTCAACTTTCCTAGATATTGCCAGTTTGCTCTGCAAAGCTGTGCTAATTTACAATCCCACCATCAGGTATAAGCTTTCTCATTGCTCAACATCCCTGCCAACACTTGGTGTTGCAGACTTTTCAATCTTTGCCAATCTGATTGCTGTGAAATAGTATCTCATTATGGTTTTAATTTGTATCTGCTTGATTTCTCATGATGTAGAGAATTTTCAGGTATGTTACTAGACCTTCAAATTTTGGATTACCTATTTATATCTTTTTTGTTTTTTCCTGTTTAGGAGTTCCCTTTTATCTTACTGATATTTAGTCATTCTTAGACAGTCTGGATATTAGTCTATTGACAGTTATATGCTTTGCAAATATCTTCTCCAAATCCATGGCTTGACTTTACTTTATGGTATCTTCATGAGCAAGGTTTTCATTTTAATATAATTTAATTTATTATCTTTTGTTCCTTCTATTTTGCCTTTTAGAGGCCTTCTCTATCCAAAATTTATAAAGATTGTTTTCTCCTAAAAGTTTGTTTGTTTTTTAAACTTAGATCTGTTATACATCTGAATCCAACTTTTTAAAAATGTGGTTAATTGGGGCCAGCTCGGTGGCACAGCGGTTAAATGCACATGTTCTGCTTCTCGGTGGCCCGGGGTCCGCCAGTTCGGATCCCGGGTGCAGACATGGTGCCGCTTAGCACGCCATGCTGTGGTAGGCGTCCCACATATAAAGTAGGGGAAGATGGGCATGGATGTTAGCTCAGGGCCAGTCTTCCTCAACAAAAAGAGGAGGACTGGCAGTAGTTAGCTCAGGGCTAATCTTCCTCAAAAAATAAATAAATAAATAAATAAATAAAAATGTGGTTGACCATTTATTGAGCATTCCATCCTTTACACAATGTCATTTAATTAATTAAACAACAAATACATTCTGGACCAGGTAGCATTCCCATCAAAGTTAATAACATAGCAAAAGTATTTATTTTAAGATGGCTGCCATTGCTCAAAATACTTTTGAAATTCCTCTTTTTAAAATTACATTCAAAGCCTACTGTAAATTACTTAACACTTACCATCATTGGAAAATTTTTTCCTTTAAGGGAAGATTTAATTTTGGGGAAGGATTAAAACTCCTTCAGAATAAGCTTGGTGATAAAGCTAGAGAGTGATTTTTTATTTAACTTAACATGAAATGTAACTGCAAACTGTTAAGACTACTTTTCTTGCATCAGCATAAAGTAATGCTAAAGGCAGACATCTAGGAGAAATTCTCACACTATTTTGAAATAATAGTATCCTCAATATAAATAAGAGCATAGAATCTCCATTATGTTCATTTGGAAATTTAATCCTGGTATATTTAAGCCAGTTCCTTATGGCTAAGCAAAGCAATTAGATCTGTAGATAGATGAATGAATAAAATACTGAGTGATAAATGTAAAATAAGAAAAATATATGAAGTACTGTGGAAATAAAGAAAGTGTGTATGGAAGATCTGACCATCAGGAGGAATCAAGGAAGGCTACATGGTAGAGATGATATTTGAACTGAACCTGGGCGGATGAATAGAAATTCTTCAGATGAAGGGCATGATATACAAAACACCCAGCATGGGCACAGAAGGACAAAGTTGGCATTAATAGCAAGTCACCTTCAAGATCAGGAGTTTATTTAGTGTGGTCAGAAGTAATATATTTGGCAACTGCAGTTTGGTCCCTCACCACCAAATGTAGCCACAAAAGTCTTTTAAGCATGGACGCAGTATGTCAGGTTTATGCTTTTGATCAAAATCATCCTGGCAATAGTGTGGCTGGCAAACTTTTTCTATAAAGGTCTGAATTGTAAATAATTTAGGTTTTTTGGGCCATACAGTCTCTTTCACCATTGTAGCATGAAAGCAGTCATAGATGATACGTAAATAAATGGGTGTGGCTATGTTCTGATTAAATTTTATATACAGAAGCAGGCAGCAGACAGAATTTAGCCCTTGGCCATAGTTTACTGACCACTGGAGTAGAGGACAGATTGAGAAGATATATTGGAGACAGGAAGATAACTAGAATGATTGGACTGGATTGGGTAAAGAAAAATGAGATTCCAAATGAAGACTGTGAAAGTAGGGATGGAAAGAAAGAGATGACTGAGGAGATGTTGCAGAAGTATACTTGGCAAAGTTGGTGGTGGTCTGGAATGGAGGGGGTGGGGAGGCTGGTGGTAAGGGAAAAATGGCTGTGGGACCTGCCTCTGGGAACCTTTGAATGTCCATGGAGACCCCTCCACCTCTTCTCTCAACTCTCCAAGGGGACAAAGTCTTGTTTTTTCCTTTAGAGTCCACCTCACATGATTTTAGGGATGATGATGGTGACGAAGGGCCCAGTGAGGGAGTGTTAGGTACTCTGAGGACAGTCGTAGAACTCAGTAGATTTGCTGGTGTTGCCTAATCCAGACTTCAGTCCTGTGCCAAGGAGTAAAAGTTCCACATAGGAACATCTGTGCACAGTTGCCTTCCATGGATACTTACTTTGATGGGACCTTTGAGTTGGCAGCAGACATTTTCACATGCAGCTGCAAGTCTTAGCCATTTAAGAGCCAACAGTCAGAACCTCCAAGGGCCAAGGGCCATTAGTTCAATAACAGAACTTTCAGTCATGACAATCACTGAATGAAGCCCACAAATTCTGTCTGCTTCTCTTCTAACAGCTGAAATAATTTAACTTTATTCTGCCACTTGAGCTCTCGTGGGGGAAGGGAGATGTGTAAGAAGCTGAGTTAGGTTCCACTTGAATTCTTTAGTCCTCGTGATGCTGAAAGGTTCTTCTTATCTTTTGAAATGTGAGTGCTAGCTTGAGACAGTTCAAGAGTTTGTCTGTCTATATCTCTAACATGGGATCAGGATTATATCCATTCTCAGCCACCAAGTCTTGTGTTAATGGAACTGAAACTCTCTGGGGAAACATCCCAAACCTATTTAATGTGCCCAAGCACTAAAGTTTGCATTAGGACTTTTACATTAGCTGAGGTGTCT